TGTATGACTGTAACTTTGTTGTTTGTGTCCTTATGATTTATATTGATTGTTTCCTAGTATGATTTGATTGGTTATTGTACCCTATGACTATCATTAAGGGTTGTACATTATGATTCTTGACTTTTGATGAATGTATCTTTTTTTATGTATACTGAATGTATTTACACCAAGACATATTCCTTGTGTGTCCAATCACACTTGGCCAATAAAGTATTCTGTTCTGTCCTGTTCTGTTCTATTCTATTCTAGTGCATGATCATCAACTATTACCTTGAATCACTTTTTAGAAGTGGAAATATTTTGCAAGTCCTTCTTTTAATTGCTGTAATTTAAAGGCTGCCTTTACTTTTGAAAGGACTGGGAAGCCATTTCAAAATCCCCCCATGTGCAAGGAAAATGTGACTGCACTGAGGAACTATTTTATATTAACAGATATGTAAATTGAGAGACAGGTTCCCCTTTAAAGCAGCCACTTGATTTTCTTTTTCAGGCTACACATACCAACACAAAGTTTGTGCACTTTCCCACATCATCTCCTATCAATTCTCTTCATCAGAGGAAACAGAAATGATTCTCTGGCTAAACTTTATGTGTTTACTAGCAGCCCTTGGAGGTAATGTTTCCCTCTCTATAGTAGCATTTTCTGTTCTTGTATGTAAGAAATGGCATTGAAACTCTTTTCTTTTTAGGCGTCAAGTCTCAAGTCCAGTTGGTGGAGTCTGGAGGGGATGTGAGAAGACCTGGGGAGTCTCTCCATCTCTCCTGCCAAGCCTCTGGATTCACCTTCAGCAGCTATTACATGGGCTGGGTGAGACAGACTCCAGGGAAAGGCCTGGAATGGGTTGCAGATATTGGAAGATCCTCATCTCCAACTCGCTACTCGGACAAAGTCAAGGGACGCTTCACCATCTCTAGAGATGATTCCCAGAGCCAGCTTTATCTACAAATGAACCATCTGAAAGAAGAGGACACAGCTGTCTATTACTGTGTGAGAGAGACACAGTGAGAGAAGGTGAATCTGAAACCCATTGAGAATTTTCTTTATCTCTGAACTGCTTTCCAAAATGTTTCAGTCATAGAAGTTTGGATTTGCACATGAGAACAAAGAAGAAGCTTATAAATCTGCATTATAGTACCATAAGTGGGTTCACTGAGCTAATCTTGAAATAAGCCACATGGAATCTTCTCTGTAGTTGCTGAGGGAGAAGAAAGAATGTTCATGGCTGTGGAATAAAATGAGGAGTTAAAAACAAGATTGTTTATTTTCCTTCAGCGGGAAAAATGTGGATTTAGTTTTTACATTTCTTAACATGATATGCTTAAATTCCTCAGCTTCTAGAAATTAAAAGGAAATTATTAGGGGGAAAAAAAGAATGAAATAAATCATATTGACTCATCTTGTAGACCTGAAGATTTTGCTTGGTGACTATAGAAAGGAAAATCAGCCCCATATATTCCACATTGCAAAGCAAGAATTTTGTTTAATCAAATACATTATGCTAATAATCAACATGTCTCTCTGCACACTTAGAGGGATGTTTCCATAATCTTGTGTGTGTGTGTGTGTGTGTGTGTGTGTAGGAGGAATTATTCTTTTGTATCCGTACTAAGTGACATTGAGTAATTTTTCCTCACTTCTTGTATTTCTGTTGCATACTAATCAGAGGTGGTATTCAGCAGGTTCTGACCAGTTCTGGAGAATCAGTAGCAGAAATTTTGAGTAGTTTGGAGAACTGGCAAATACCACCTCTGGTGGGCTCTGCCCCCATCTATTCTCTGCCTCCTGAGTCCCAGTCTTGGTTGGGTCTTCTTTTGTTGCCCTGCACAGGAGAATGGAGCTAGAAAACAGGTTAGTGGGGTGGGGAGAAAATTGGATTTTGCAGTAACCTCCTCCCAGGAGTGGGGAGGGAATGGAGATTTTGCAAGTATCCTTCCCCTGCCTTGTCCACAAAGCCACACCCACCAAGCCATGCCCACAGAACCAGTAGTAAAAAATTTTTAAATCCCACCACTGACTCTAACTTAGTGAATACAAAGTGACACATTTGCCTTTCTCTGTCCACTTTGATAATATTGGCCATTGCAGTGATTTCTTGATTTTGACTGTGGACATCCAACAATTGTGTTCTCTATAAAGCATTCTTGATTGCTTAATCTATAGCACATGAAAACTGGCTTTATTACCAGATGATAGTTTAATAAAAAGTATTCACATATAGACCTACCTTAAAATCTGTTTAAAGTCATTTAATTATTAAAATCCTTATTAAATTAATCATTATTAAAAAATAAGCCATCCTTTCTTTCTCTAATGTAGACATTACATCCTTTTTTCATGGGTGATTGTCTATTTGTTTTTCAAACTTAGAAAACAAACATACATGATTCCTTCAGTTATTTCCTCTGTTGTAAATCAACTAATCATATATTTAACTATTAAGACAATTAATTTGATGGATTATAGGATTTGTCCATCATCACAAACATGAGTGGATTATATATTTATAGAAGTGTGCAAGTCTCTTGGAGATCTTTCATTTGTAGTCAGCTTTTCTTTTGGAGATCCCGCTCTTCCTCATCACTCACATCAGGGTTAGCATTGTGACAGTCAATCATATTCATGATAAAGGAAAGCATTTTTGGGAATCTGCAGAAGTGTGCCTCATTTCTAAGGCTGATTATATATAATTAGAGAGCTAGCGATTAAAACACATGAAGAAGTTACAGGAATTGCGTATATCTAGTCTAATAGAAAGAAGGACTAAGGGTGACATGATAGCAGTGTTCCAAAATAATCCTATCATAAGATCTTATTTTCATGTCTGTTCCAATTAAATTGTTAATCTTTATTCTTATTCTGGTTGTTATTTTATATGTCTTTAATAACATTTCTATAATAAGTTATCAATTCCAAACTCCTCAAAATCTATCATCTATCTATCTATCTATCTATCTATCTATCTATCTATCTATCTATCTATCTATCTATCTATCTATCTATCTATCTATCTACCGTGCTTCTGATATATTAAGGGTCATATTTTTTTTGAGCCCCCCCAAAATGGCTAGGCTGTCTTTTCAGGAGTGACTTAATTCCCCCCCCCTTGCATCCTTGGGCAGGCAGGCGTCATCGGCTTGGATGTTGGCCTCAGTGTTGGTGGGGCACTTTGTATAGGGAGAACTTCCGCTGCCATTGCTTTCCCTTCTGCCTGTGCAGCCATGGCATTTGGAGCATCGCTGCAGAGTTTGGTGCAGCCACACAGGGCTGGTCAGGGCTCATCCCTGCAACCAGTGCCCCACCAGAAAACTCGGCTTTAGATGCTCCTGTCACCGACTTCCAGGGCATCATTAGAAGGCAAAGCCCATTCTTTTAAAAACAACGTCTTATTATGATAAAGCCTCCCCTGCCCTATACCCTTCTAGCAGCAGGGCTCACAGCATTGTGAAATCACCTGGGGACATTACATCAGCCCAAGCAGTCTGACAGAATTTCTTTGGACAATTAGGATGATGTCTCTCCTCCTCACTTTGGACACTGGGGCAATGTTGTCTTCCTGCTTTGGTGTAGCTGCCCAGTAGTTCCTGTTGCCACCAGTTGTTAAACAGGGACTACCTTGACCAGATGTCCTCTCACTTTAGAGTCTAGGATAAGTTCATTCATTCATTCATTCATTCAGCCTCTTTCCTTAACAGTCAAACTGAAAATGAGAAATAGGTGTAATAGATCCGATGGTTTTATCCTGTAGAGGCCAGCCACTTTCATGATGTGAAACAGGTAAAATCAGACTGATCAATTTCACGTGGCAAGGCAAGATTCTTATTTAATCAACCCTATCTTCTCTCTGATGTAGTCAGAATTTAAAATATCTTAGTTTTCACTGCATGTCTTGTGAAAATCCAACCATTAGGTTTTATAAGACACACAATGAAAAAAAGTCTATTTATTTATTTTTATTTTATTTGGTTTGTCAATTGCTTACAAGATAATAGGCATAAGTAAAAACATGGTTATGAATACATGGATACATATAAGAAAAATAAAAAGAATCAATAGGACAGGGATGGTAGGCACATTGGTGTGCTTATGCATGCCCCCTACAGACCTCTTAGGAAAGGGGTGAGGTCAATAGTAGAAGGTCTAGGGTTAATATTTTTGGGGTTTGGGAAAGAAACCACAGAGTCAGGCTAAGGAAAAAACTGTTGTTCATTCAGAAGAAAATTCTAAATTTCTTTTTGAAATCCACATTTGAATTTTTGAGCATTATTGGGTAAAGGATTGCAGCAAAATTTCATTTTGGATTATCTTGGTGCTGAAGGTAAAATTTGCCCCCGTCCTTCTGTACTGATTGGTGTGGGATCCTGAAAGCTGGATTTCATTTCCCTTTTCCCTTTTCAGGCAATACCCACAAATACCTTGCTTGTCTGTTTTCCTGAATCATCTCCAATCAATTCCCTTCATTCATTACAGGGAAAAGAGAGAGAGAGAGAGAGAGAGGAGCCCAATCTCAACTCAATTTGGGTCTGGAGGGGATATTTAGTTCTATCTCTAACATGTCTGTTTCAAAAATTATTATTATTATCCATGCTTTCTCTGTGCTACTTAATACCACTTTCCTTAGCCTTAAGCCAAAAATTTGTCTATTACCTAATATAAAGTAAAATCAAGGTTCTTATATTATTTAATACACAGATAAAAGGAAGGGATATTTCGTCATCTCAAAAAAAAAAAAAAAACAATTCTAGTAGCAAAGGAATAACTTGAAATCAGAGGACATAGTTTATTATTTAACATTGTCTGAAACTCACATGAGAAAAGACAATTATCTATAAGTGAGTGTCCTGAGTTGTCTTTTTATCCCAAGTGATATGTAAATTGAGGCACAATCTCCTCTTTAAAGCTCAGGGTTTCCCTTTTCAGGCAACACCCACCAACACAAAGTTTTTGCATTTTGAAGAATTCTTTCCTATCAATTACGCTCCATTCTACAGAGGAAGCAACAATGTTCCTGTGGCTAAATTTTGTGCCCTTTCTAGCAGTCCTCAGAGGTAATTATTTCTTAACCATTTGGATTATTTTCCTTTTAATGGTTGTATACAGGAGAGCTGACTGAAACTTCTTTCATTTTAGGTGTCCAATCTGAGGCCCAGTTGGTGGAGTCTGGAGGGGATGTGAGAAGACCTGGGGAGTCCCTCCATCTCTCCTGCCAAGCCTCTGGATTCAGCTTCAGCAGCTATGACATGCACTGGGTGAGACAGGTCCCAGGAAAAGGGCTGGAATGGGTTTCACAGATATATCCAGGATCTTCTAGCATTTACTACTCAGACAAAGTCAAGGGCCGCTTCACCATCTCCAGAGATGATGCCAAAAGCCAGCTGCATCTGCAGATGAACAATCTGAAACTAGAGGACACAGCTGTCTATTACTGTGCAAGAGACACAGCGAGAGGAAGTGAATCTGAAGCCCGTCAAGAACTTTCATTACCTCTGAGCAATTCTCCAAATTGACTCAATCACTTCCTCACGGTGAAGCCAAAGCCATGACAAGAGATACAAATGGATTCTCCAAATCTCTCAATGTCTATACTGGAAGAGAGAACAATCTGAAACCAGAGGATACGGCAGTCTATTACTGTGCTGGAAACACAGTGAAAGGAACTGAATGTGAAACATGGCAAAAACTTACCACTCATCAGAGCAGCTTGGCAAGACTATTCATACTGAGAATAGGGCTGTATTTTTCAATAAGATGAGCCTATGGAAGCTGCCTGGTTGCCAGAAAGAAGGAGTTGATCTTGATATCAGCTCTTTGGGGGCCTATTTTCAAATTGAAGGGGAAGAAAATAAAGTGAATAGATATAGGGAGAGAGAGAGAGAGGACAGAGAGACCGGGAGAGAGAGAGAGAGAGAGAGGGAGAAAGGGAGACAAAGGGAGACAGAGAAAAACAAACATTTGACAATTTTAATATGTTTAAAATCATACCCTCCTATATCAGTAGAAATGTAGCCATGTAATAAAATAAGGATGCCCTGAAACTGATAATAATTTGTATTGGATCTGGGCAGATGGTTCAGAAATGGAGGCAAGACTCAGATAACAACAACAGCACTTTATTAGTGACTTCAGACTGAGCAAAGAATCCCAGCCACAGCAGCCCCTTATATAGGGCTGGCTGCGGCTAGGCAGCCAATGAAAGCGATTTGAGTTTGCTGCTCTTGGCAGGGCCAATCGCAGCAGCCTGCTTACTAGCCAATCGGATCAGTCTGCGGTGACCAATCATGATCTGCTATTCGTGGGCCAATCAGAGTTGCAGGCTTTCGAGCCTGCTAGTCCAGAACACCCCTCCCCTCTCGGTTCCATTTAAGGGGTGGAGTTATATAGTCTCGCAAGTAGGCAGGTCTTCGCACCTGTCTACCTGATTTATGCAATTCCAATTGTCCATGTTCAAATTCGGGTTCAGATGGATTGTTTGCTGGATCTAGCAGGAACAGTGAACTGGTGCCTTGGTTGAGGCTCTCCTCTGATGCCCCCAGGGTGATTGAGTCCTCAGCTTCATTGCTGCTGCTATGGCTCCCTGGGCTCACTGAACTTGCTTGGCTGTTGCTTCTTGGTGAAGGGTTCATCTGCCCAGGTTCAACTACAGCTGGTGAGTATTAGTTCTGAATAAACAGGTGTTGGTTCTATTTCCGGGCTCCCAGCTTCCCCTCCCCCCCTGGTGTCGAGGTTGGGGTCAGGGATGGAAGTTGTGGTCAGTCTGGAGCGTAGCTGGTCAATATGGCATTTCCATGCTCTGCCATCAGTGGTCAGTAGACGGTAGGAGCGGGGACCCGTGACTTGGGTTATTTGAGCAGGAATCCAGAGGGGATCCCCAGAAAATTTTTTTGCAAATACAAGGTCTCCTACCTTAAAGGCGTGATGCTTGCTGCTGGAATCCAGGGGCTTTTCCGGGGTGTAGGCAGGGTGCAAGTGGTCTAGATGCGATCTGAGTTTCCTGGACATCAGGAGTTCAGCTGGGCTCTTGTTAGTCGTGCTGTTAGGTGTGATGTGTTGAAAAAGCAGCATTCTAGTGACTTTATTGTGGATATTACCTTGTTCCATTTTCTGTAGGGTTTTCTTTGTGAATTGAACCATTCGTTCAGCCTGGCCATTCGCCGCTGGATGAGCCGGCGATGTGAGTCGGATGCCCCGTTCTGCTAAATACTATTCAAAGGCTAAGGCAGTAAATTGGGACCCATTGTCAGAAACCAGGACATCAGGTAGGCCGTGTGTGGCAAAGAGTCTGTTCAATTTCTTGATGACTGCCTCTGTAGTGGTTGTTTTCATCTTAGTGACCTCGAGCCAGTTAGAATATGCATCTACAGTTATTAGGAAAGTGTGGCCTCTAGTAGGTCCCGCAAAGTCAATATGAATGCGTGACCAAGGACCCCTGGGTGTTTCCCATTCTGCTGGTGGAGCTTTTGGTGGGGCTGAGTGATTTTCCTGGCATCTGTTACAAGAGGCGACCCATGATTCAATTTGTTTGTCCATACCTGGTCACCAGGCATAACTTCTTGCCAGCGCTTTCATACGCACGATGCCCTGGTGTCCATCGTGTAGCATTTGCAGGACTTATTTTTGTAGTTTAGTTGGTACGATGACTCGGTCTCCCCATAAAACACACCCTCTTTGTGAGAAAAGCTCTGCCTGTCTGTTTTTAAATGGCTTAAAGATTTCCTTGTGTTTGTATTCTGGCCATCCCCTCTCCACCAGCCAAGAACTCATGCCAAACAAGAGTCTCTTTTGGTTTCAAAGGCGATGTCCTGGGCCATTAGTGGAGGTGAGGGAATTGTCTCAATTTGTAGTACTGGGAGCGTGGGAGCTGGGTCTTCCTGTGGCTCGGGTAGTGGCGAGCGGCTCAAGGCATCAGCATGAGGAATAGATTTCCCCGGGCAATATTTAAGTTGATAGTCGTAGGCAGCTAGGAATTCCGACCATCGCGTCATTCTGGGGGAGAGAATGTGTGGGGTAGGTTTGTCGCCCTCCAGAATGCCAAGTAATGGCTTATGATCCATGATAATAGAAAATGGTCTCCCATAAACATATTCATGAAACCTTTTAATTGCAGAGACAATAGCAAGGACTTCCTTATCTAAGTGGCTATAGTTTCTTTCTGTTTTTGATAGAGTTCTTGAAAAAAATGCAATTGGTGCCTCTGAGCCGTTTGGTAGGACATGGCTCAGGATGGCCCCCACCCCAAATGGTGAGGCATCACAAGTAATAGTCAAGGGGAGTGTCTCGTTATATTGAATTAGCACTGCATCAGAGGTAAGGAGGTCTTTTACTTGCTGGAAGGCATGTTCCTCCCGACGTCCCAATTCGAGGATGCCCTTTTATCGAGTAGTCTATGATGGGGCTCAGCAACAGTCGCCTTCTGGGGCAGGAAGATGTTATAAAAGTTAATAAGTCCCAGGAAGGCTTGGAGGTTGGTTTTGTTTTTAGGTCTTGGGGCATTTTTGATAGCTGCCAATTTCTTTTCTGTAGGGTGGATTCCTTGTTTGTCAAGAAGGTAGCCAAGAAACTCCACCCTTTCTTGTGCATAGCTGGCACTTTTCCTTCTTAACCTTGAGGCCAGCATCTTTGAACCTTTGTAGAACTGTTCTGAGGCATTTCTCTAATTGACTTTTTGTTGGGGCTGCTATTAGTACGTCATCAAAATAGGGCACGACTCCTTTTATGCCTTGTAATAGTCTCTCCATCAGGCTTTGAAAAATGCCTGGGGCTACGCTTACTCCAAACTGGAGCCTGTTGCATTTGAATGCACCACGATGTGTGACTATAGTTTGGGCTTCTGCAGTTTCGGAATCAACTGGCAGCTGTTGATACGCTTGGGCCAGATCTAATTTTGCAAATATTCTGCCCCCCTCAAGAGAATGCAGGAGATGCTGAACGACGGATAGGCGCTCTGCTGCAGCGCGTGATTGAGGGTAGCCTTGTAGTCACCACAGATTCTCAAGGACCCATCAGGCTTTATGGGAGTGACAATTGGTGTCTCCCATCGGGCGTGGTCAATGGGCTCTAACACGCCTTGTGCAATTAATTTGTCCAGTTGCTCATCAATTTTGGGTTTGGGAGCAAAGGGAACTTGGTGTGGTTTTAGGTGAATGGGCGCAATGTCGGGGCGAAGATTAAACGAAATAGGGGACCCTTTGTACTTGCCTAAGTTTTCGCTGAACACTTCTCAGAAATCGTGGATGAGGGCTGCCTCCCAGTCATCGGCTTCAGTATGATGGATGCCAGCCATTCTGATTCCTAATGGCATGAAACACTGGAGGCCAAATAGACTTGGCCGGTCTCTGTCTACAATGGTGAGTGTTAGAATTGCATTGTGTCCCTTGAAAGAGACCTGGAAATGGCGGGTACCTGCGACTGGAATCCGGTTGCCTTGATAATCTTTCAGTATGTGTCTATGACTGCTGAGGTCTTGGCGTCAGATGTTGGGAATCAGTTGCTTGAGCGTTTTCCAGGATACCATGGATAGTGAGGACCCAGAGTTGACTTCCATGATGCAAGGTTTATTTTCGATGGTGACCTTTACATGGATTTTTTTAGCATCTAGCGATGAAGCGTGGCCGATGGTGATGGTTTGATGAGCTTCTTCTCGTCTGGGTGTGCCGTAAACCTTTGGGGTCTGCTGTACTGGTTCCACTGGTTGCTAGGGCGGTCCCTCTGTGTGGTGGGGTTGCCATCATTCCTTTTCGGGCTGCTCCCTCTCCGTCTGGGGCTGGAATTTCTTTTGTTTCTGCAAAGTTTTGCAATATGCCCTCATTTTTCGCAAAAACGGCATATGGCATCTAAGAATCTGCATTCGGATCGAGGATGGTTTCCCCCACATCCGGCGCACTGGTAGTTTGGTTTACGACCCCACTGGTCCCATTGCTCACGTTCTGACTGGAGTCTGTGGACTTCTTCCACCTCGCTGTCTGAGGATGACTCGACATCTTCATGATGGGTGGTCGATGTGTACTTGTCTGAAGGTTTCCCAACACCGTTGGTGGGTTGGAGGTTGGTTTCGCTCATTCGGTGCATTCGTGCTGCTAATTTACAAGTGGCTTCAGCTGCGGTGGTGTCTGCTATGGAATCTGCAAGCGAGATGTCTCCCTTGGCCATGATCTTGCTCTGGACAGTTGGATCTCTAAGGCCAAGGATGATTCGGTCTCTCATGGCTTCTTCGAGATTGGCAAAGCCACATAAACCTCCCAGGTTCCTCAGGTCTGCCATGAAATCCCCAACGCTCTCACCTTCACGCTGGTCCCTCTGATAGAACTCGTGTCTGCGAATGAGAGTTGGTACTGCTGGGGCGTAATGGTTGCGTAGGATGGGAGCAAGGGTGTCCCAATCCATCGTTTTAACTTCAGCTGGTTTCGCTAAGGCTTTTCGCCATCTTAAAAATGGCTGGTCCACAATGGGTTAGAAAAACGACTTGTTTCTTGATGGGCGTGGCATCTTTTAGGTTGTTGGACTCTAGGAA